CCAGGTTTTCCTTTAGTGTTAATGTCACTATAAGTTGTCCTCTGGCCTTAATGAGCTGCTATCAGAAATGTGTTACCTTGAATAAAAGTGAAATCATGAGCTTAGTCAATAAGTAAACACTGTCCCACCAGTATAAACTCCTGGGTATCAGTCATGGGGCTATTTTTAGAGATATATGACAACAAATATCCTTTTATTTAAGGACAATTTAATTTTTTTATTTTTTAAAAAAGATTTATTTATTTGTTTGTTTGTTTGTTATGTATACAACATTCTGCCTGCATGTATCCCCTGCAGGCCAGAAGAGGGCACCAGATCTCATTATAGATGGTTGTGAGCCACCATGTGGTTGCTGGGAATTGAACTCAGGACCTCTGGAAGAACAGTCACTGCTCTTAACCTCTGAGCCATCTGTCCAGGCCCTAATTTTCTATTTTTTCTTTTTTTAAGCAAATAAAACTTTGCTGGAAATTTCAAAATCATGTGCATTTAGTTCCTGAGGAGCTGGATCTGATGCTTTCTCATGCTTATGAAAGAATCAAAAAAAAAAAAGTTATGTAAAAGAGAAATTATTTGACCCCTGGTCACCATCAAAACACCCACAGCACAGGAGGCCTGGCCAGCTCCTCATGACCCCGCAGGCACTGTGTGGAGACAGCCCTTTGCCCCAGGTCATTCTTTTTTGATCTTCTCAAGAGCTGCATGAGGATCATTTTGCTGTTATCGCCAATTCTGACCCAAGATCCTTATTAATATATGTTTTACACACACATGGAAATTTTTAGTGAAAACAAGAAAAACATTATAGAGTGCTAAGCCTCTAAAAGTGACCACTGTGTTATTAGATGAATTAGGAATGATGGCTAGATACAAGATAATGATGTTTTGTCATAGCAGTATATAATGTATGAACCCATAAGATTCAAAATAAGGTACTATTAACCAATAATATTTTAAAAGGAGGGATAGTGATTATTTCTGGGGAAGAAGGCACAACTAGAAAAGAAGTGTGAGCAGACCTCTGAGACAGAAGAAAACTTGGCACGTTTAATCTGAGTGGTGACCACCTGCATCCACACAAAAGCGATTGCTATTCATTCGGCTTACACCTAGTATTTGTGTGTTTTATGAACTCTTCAGTATCATATATTTTTTTTCATTCCCTTGCTTCTGTGATTCAAATCAGTGGGAATTCTGGAACAGGTTTTAAAATTGACATGAGAAGATTTGTCATTATATTTTTGAATGAAATACAAAGGGAAAGTAAGTAGAGGGTATTATTTTTGCCAAGATAACACAGGAAGCAATATGGCACATAGTTCCGTGCCACAGTAAATGATGGAGATGTGCAAAACAGGAGTCCATCTGGGTAAACCATGGGACATAATTTGTCAAGAAACACCCAGAACTCTAATGGGGCCACTAACATAGGAGGATGGCATGGGGCTTGGTGGCAATGTTCTCAAAGAGACTCTGGTATTCTTAAATTTCTCATTTGTTTCAAGAAGAAATCAACCGATTCAGACCTGTGGATTATTAGTTTAGAATAAACATTATTTTTTTAAACTCAAAATGCTTCTGTAATTTGATCTAATTTTCTGATCTAAGGATCCCCTGGTATTTTTCAGAGACATCAAAATCAGGAATTCCCAGTGTAGCTGAGTGGGTGGGTACAGGATAAGCAAGTATGTGGCCCTGAGTTTAAACCCCAGCAAACAACCCCCAAAAAGGAAAGTGCTTTATCCACTGAGCCAAGTGCTTTGTATACGAAGTGTTGAGTCCACATAGCTGCGTGTTCAAACTGTATAATCTGTAGGAAATGGGAGGCCACTTTACAGTGAGTAGGCTGACTGAGCCTTAACACGGTGTCCGAGTAAGGAGAACTCACTCCATACAGATGGGGATGCTCATGAGCAATTCCTCTGTATTCCCTTGTGGGCATCTGTTACTGTTTCAACTGTTCAGAATCTAGAGGATCAGGCTGTTGGTTGCAGTTAACAGCACACCTCACTCACTAGAAACTGTGATCAGGCTTTTGAAGAAGTTTAGACAAGGAAACTTGCCACAGGAGAGGTAGGTGCAGATGACTACTGGTATTTTAACAATTCTGATGACTCAATGAGCATGGCTATTAACATCAGTGACAACCCTCTCATGCCTGTGACCATTTGCCATGAGCTTCAGTCTGTGAAGTTGAAATGAACTTTTTCCTTTGAGCAACAGAAGGATTTTTGAAGATGCTAACCTAGAAGCATCACTTACCTCACTTCTTATTTTGGCTGAAGCAACTGTAGTTAAAAGGGAAATGAAGAGAGACTGAGGCATTGATTTAAAAAGAAAAAGATACTAAATTCCAGACTAGGGATGGCTTTACAGTTATTTTTATAAAGAAGGGTACCTTACACGTTTCCTCCTTCACAAATTTTTGTTTTCCCTTTGGTTTTTCAAAACAGGGTTTCTCTGTGAAACAGTCCTGGCTGTCCTGGAGCTCACTCTGTAGACCAGACTGGCCTTGAACTCACAGAAGTCCACCTGCCTCTGCTTTCCAAGTGCTGGGATTAAAGGTGTATGCCTCCACCACCCAGCTCACAAAATAAATTCATGTATACTTTCTTAATGAAAAGCCAAGTCAGTCAGTATCTCCTTTCTAAACAGCTACCATGTGTTGGTCTGTCTTCCTCAGGAAGGGGTGATAGCTAGACCTGCCTGTCCTACCTTTCTTTGGCCTGCAAATTTAAGAATGAGGACTGCCATTGCTGAGGTTTTTATCTTATCCTGCCTCTTAAGGGGTAAGTTAAGAGAAAGGAAGAATCACATGGGGGGACAGCCCGTTAAGAAAATGAAGAGTTACAACATGCTTGAGTGGAGAGGATGTAAATGAGGTGAATGGGATGTACGGTTGTAGAAGCTCTTGCTTCCTCTAAAGCTCCTCTTGGGTTAATTATCCTCTCTCTATGAGACACTGTGAGGCTCTGGGTACTGAGAACAAGACCTGAACATTTAGTAGTCAGATTCCATCCTAGAGGTCCATGTGCATTGATTCATTTAGCCCTCACTACACATGAGGTGTTTTTTCTCACTTTATACAGGAAGAAGCTGTATGGGTAAACAGGGTATGGAAGAGTCGCATGAGTAGAAAACGCAGCACAGACCTTCTGGTTCCTACACTTCTCTCATTTGATACAGGGTGCAGCTCAGGTCTGTGCTGCATTCTCTACTCATGCATCTCTCCCATAAGGAGAGGAGCATATGGAAGGTGAAGTAGCACAAGGAAACATCTTGAGTGACTTGGATATCATGAAAAAGTAATTCAGTAAAAGGCGACAGTGCTAGAGATTATTATGTAAAATAAAACAAAATTAAAATAAGCCAGATCCACAACAGCTTATTTTTTTCTCATATTTGGATTCTAGATTTTTACATACTGTGTGTGTATGTATGTGGGGGGGTAGACTGTGAAGAAGAGGATAAGTTAGGAGGAGTGGGGGGGCATAGGGAGGTAATGCAGAGGTGAATATGAACAGGGTATATTGATATATATATATAGAGAGAGATGACATGCATATATATATGAAAATGTCATAATGAAGCCCATATCTTTGTGTGCTAATTAAATATGAATAGTAAAAACTGCACATTTTAAATAATTCAGAGGATTGCATTACTTTTTCTGCACACAAGGGAAGATGTGAGGACAAGTGAATAAAAGCCAGCGTCAAAAGCAGTGTTCTCGTAGGTAATCATAAGAGCTCCTGCCTCAGTCCTCCTATGCTTTAAAAGAAGGCCTGAGTAAGGAGGTGGTGTCTAAGAGCTGCCTGAAGAGTGGCTGATGATAAACCCAAGAAAAAACTCCACCAGGGAGTCCCTGAAAAGCAGCTGGCCCAGTAATCCAGCCTCAGCCAGAAGAAAAAGGCCTTCAGCAGGAGGAGGTGAGGGAAGGCTTGGGACACATAAAAGGCTGGCAGCCTCGGGGCCTCAGAGTTACTGTCAAGAACAAACGCTTAGGTAGCATCTCTTGCACTTATGAAAGACTTGTTTTGGAGAGATATTGGCAAATATAATTCCTAGCTGAAACATATTTTTTTAAATAATTGGACAAATGCATGTTAATTACTTAGCAGATTCCTAGGCAAAAACTCCATTTTTTATTATTGTTTATTTTTGAGACTGTATTTTAATTACAACATTTTTCACTTTCCCTTTTTCCCTCCAAACCCTCCCATATACTCATTCCCATTTCTCCTTGAAATTCATGGCTTAATCCCTTATTCATGCATATCCACACAAAAATGTATTTGTTAATTGATATGGCTAAAGGGTCTCATTATCCAGACTATCTTCTATTGAAAGTCATCTTGGTTGTAGCAAAGGAAGATAAAAAAGAAAACATTGTCTAGTAAGTTCTTATGTGAGTTATTAGTAAATAATAGTAACATGGCAGTGGTAATTATATATTGAAAGGGGAAAATGCCAGGTATGGTGATGCACACCTATAATCCCAGGACTCAGTGGGTAGAGGCAACAAGATTTCTGTGAGTTCAAGGCCATCCTGATCTACAGAGGAGAGCACATTCCAACCAGCTAAGGCTACATAGTGAGACCCTATTGGGGGAAAAAAAAAGGAAGGGAAGGAAGGAAGGAAGGAAGGAAGGAAATAAATATATGAACGCTAGGTCTGGGTTATTACCAGTAACAAGCTTTCTGTCATTGGCCAAGGCTCCCTGAAGAAACTATCACTGACAGTTCCTGAACTGACAGACCTCATTCTCCAGCACCAATCCAGACATCTGTGTCCCTGCTCTAGCCCATCAGCTAGCTAGTGCTCCACATCTGAAATGCAGATTCATGGACTCAACTTCCCGTTCATTCTAATTCAAGTCTCCCAGGCACACAGAAATATATTTCAGGCACTCATCTATTTGATGCACTCAGAAGCTGGTAACTAATATTCTACATGCTGCCTAAGCCCAAAAATCTCTGAGCTAGTTGTACATAACCAAATGAACAACAAGATTGAACAAATGAATCTGAGCACTAAAGATAACCAGTAAGTAAGCATTAATTAAGTAATGAATATTCAGGTTATAACATACTGCCCTAGGCTTGGAAATGAAGACCTAGTGGTGGGAATGTGGCTGGTGAAATTGACTTGTGAATTAGGCACCAAGAGAGTGCCCTCATTTCTGATTCCTGTCAGTTCAGGGTGCTTCTAATTCATTAAAGTAGTACATGCTTTGAAATTTCCCTCATTAAATTCCCAAAATGAAGTAATCTTAATTTATGTGGATTTTTATAATGAATGTTTTAAGCATTGCTTGCTTTTTAAAGTTTAAAGCTGACATTTTTTGATCACTCCTTCTCACTCTTGCTTGCTTTCCTCTGCTCACTCTCTCTGGTGTCCATCACTATTGCCCCTTTCTTTGCTGTACTTGGAGGCGTTGGAGGTGTGATTTGCAGGTCATGCAATCTTTCCATCCCATTCCATGGATGTCTGTTAGACCTTGGAACCTGCAGAACAAAGCCTGGTCAGTATTGCATACGAGAGACCCTCTCAAAAGGTAAGTCTTGATTCTTAGAAGCGCAGAGATAATCCTTTTATCATTTGCTAACACCAGCTATATGCCCAATGTTACAGTGAAGGCTTGACCAGGATTATATTACTCCAGTCATGCAATGGTAAGACCTGGATGGATCCCATCACAACCCCCCCCCCCACTCACTCTTCTTATTTTTCGATTACTGGAAATTGAAACCAAGGCTATACACATGGCAAATGCTCAACCTCTGAGCTATGTCCATAGCTCATTATCCCCATTTTAAAGATGCATCTATATATTATTCAAACATGTATACACACACACACACACACACACACACTTGCTGGAGCTTCTGAGAGCCAGAAGAGGGCACTGAATCCTCTAGAACTGGAGTTATAGACTGCGGGCTACCATGTGAGCACTAGGGAACCAACCTGGGTCTTCTGTAAGACCTCTGAGTCATCTCTCCATTATCTCCATTTTTTATATTAAAAATTAGAGGCACATAAAGATTAAATAATTTTTACAAAGTTACCAGTAAAAGAGTATGATAGTCAAAATTCAAAAGCAAGTACTTTGACCCCTCCCCAATATTCCAATATTGATAAATCTATGCTGGGTATTGGTGGTGTATGCCTTTAATCCCAGCACTCTGGGAGGCAGAGGCAGGAAGATCTCTGTGAGTTCAAGGCCAGCCTGGTCTACAGAGCTACTTCCAGGACAGGCTCCAAAGCAATACAGAGAAACCCTGTCTCGAAAAACCACAATAAATAAATAAATAAATAAATAAAATCTACATGTAGCCTCATTTTCAACATTCACACCTCAGAAAACATTAATAGATTATTTTATTTGCAGAGTTTTCTTAATGCAGGTTCCTGTGCAACTTTCCAGATTTCATGTAAAACACAAAAACCAAATGCTGACAAAATTAGAAGAAAAGGCTGGTGAACACATTTCAAGTTTGAAAGAAAGGAGGCCCCTTAACACCCAAAACCCAAAAGTCATAAAGAACACAATTGATTTGAATGTGTCCATATTATAATCTGTAAAATAAATGAAAATGTTAAATAACAAGTAAATTTAAAAGACAAAGAGCTAATTAGCTGGAAATAATAAAAAGAAATAAATTATAGAAAAACATAATATTATCTATCCAGAAAAATAATTCCTAAAAATCTTTTTTTAAAAGATGAGCTACGGACTGAGCATCTGGCTCAGTTAATTACATGGAGAGATGAATTCAGATCCCAGGAATCCAAATAAAAAGAAGATAGACTTGGTAGTGTGTGTATGTATTCCACTGGGGTCAAAGCCAGGCAGATCCATGAAGCTCCCCCAGCCTGGCTGAATCAATGAACGTCAAGCCCAGAAAGAGACCCAGCATCCCAAACTAAGATAGGGATGGAGGAATGATACCTGACATTAACCTATGACCTCAACACATGCATGTACATGCATAGATAGATACACACACACACACAAACACACACACACACACAAGAACACATACCATATGCTAAACATACAACACACATACACAAAATCAACTATCAGAAAAAAAATAAAACAAGAAGGCAAGTCCTGGCCCAGTGAATATCAACATGAAAACAAATCAAAAACAATCTAACCTTGTTAGTAAAAATCAAGGCAATGTGAAGTATAGAAACAAAATGTAACATGTTTAGTCCATAAGATTGATAATAAACATGTCTTATTATCTGAAGGATAATTGCACACACACATACACACAATAAATAAATAAAGGCAAAACATTCTTTTAATAAATAGCACCAATGCTCACATACAGGAATCAGTTGGACTATGTTGTATTCAAAGCATGTGATGCTGTCTGCCATGTAGCATGTACTGGATGTATTTGGTAATACGGGCAAATATCTAAACTGTTGTCAAGTGGAATGAAATCAATTACAAATTAATACCCATAATGGTCTATACAGAAATAGCAATCAGCAAAGCCAAACGTCATTGAATTGGAAGGAAAGAAAAAAGTAAGGGGGCATCAAAGTTATGCAAGAGAGAGTAAGAACCACAACTCCCCCCTCAAGGGGATCGATGTTAAGAAGCATCTCAGCTCTGTCAAGCTCCATAGCCCACCTGCCCTGTAACTTTGAACTTTGCTATTCAAAGTCCCTCTGTTACTGACAGAGAAACATCCCAAAGCCCCTCAGAGCCAAGGACATTGGTTCTCTGACATTGTTCTTTTACTCCTGAGTTGTAAGCATTCGTACTGACACCCACATAAGAGTTAAGGGATTCTATGCACAGACAGAGCCTGAAAGCTTGTCTAGAAAAATACCAACAACTACCCGCGGTGGGTCAATGACCTGGAATGACTCTGCCATGTGAGAAGAGTTCTGTATCTTGGAAATTTTGTCATTTCTCACTGACAGGGGTTAAACAGAATTGAACGTTACATTTTAATGTAGCTTTATCAATAGCTTTTCAGCATTACCAGTAGTGGCCGTTGTGGAAGATTAATGCTTTGTTGGGGATAGTTGCTAAGGCTTGCATCTCGAAAGTCCCCAAAAGTCCATGTCTTAACAGGCCTGGTCTCTGCCTTTAGCAAGATTAGGAAATGCTGAAACCTTTAGGAGGCCAGGCCTAGGGGAAGGAAGTTATGCCCCAGGGATCGTAGTTCTGAAGGGAGTAATGACTTTCCAGCCTTCTCTTTTTGTTTCCTGAACACCATGAGGTGTGTGGCTTCCTTGGTCACACTCTCCCACTATGGTTATATTGTTTACCACAGGCCCAAAAGCAACATGGCCAAGAAACCATGGACTGAGACCTTTGGAACTGTGAGCCAAAACAAACCGTTGGGGGTTTTTGTTTGTTTGGTTGGTTGGTTGTTTTTTGGGGGGGAGGGTTGTCTTTTTTTTTTTTTTTTTTTTAAACTCACCTCAGGTGTTTTGTCACAGGACCGGGTGGTGAACAACACAGGAATGTCTTTCATTATCGAGTGTATAGCAACATTCCTAGCCTTCTGTCCCTAGAAACCCAGAACACATGTCCCCTGCTGCCCTACCCAACTATGATAGCAGAAGTCTCTGAGTGGCAGTTTACATCCTGGGGTTGGGGAAACACTTTTGTCTCTGCTGCTCCGGGGTGCTCATCGGCCCTCTGGGCACATCTGGAGCTGGGGCAGTAGGACTGGGCCACTACTGGGGCTTGCTTTTCACTTTGTCCATTTGCAAACATTCTACAGTGATTTACCCAATGAGTAATGGGCGGGGCACACTTGCAATCCCAGAAGCCAAAGGGTTGGGGGGGGGGGTTTGAGAACTGAAGGGCAGCCTACATTACATGGCAAGGCCTAGTCTCAAAACAAAACAAACAAACAAAAAACCAGAAGAATAGTGGAGTTACGTATGATAAGATTCCATCTCTAGGAAGCACTTACTAGAATACCATTGGTTAAGTTACAAACCTGAGTGAAGCCGGGGTTGCTTATGAGCAAGCTCCCCCACAGCTAACGCATCCAAAATGTCTAGACAATAGCAGTTGCAAGCAGAAAGCTATGGTTGTTTTGCAATCCCGAAACATGCATACTACAAAGTCCTCAGCTCAGATAGTTTACCTGGGAGTTCTTAAAGGCAGGATGAGGGAGCCACTCCTAAGGTAGGAAGTCTAGATTCCTATCTTGCTTAGTAGAGCTGTGGAGATTTCACTTGGGCTCTTGTTTTCATCCGTTTGCTGTGGGAAACACACAAGGCCAGGTGGGCGGTACCTTCTTACATACCCGCCCAGCTCAGCATCCTTTCTTTCTTCAGGTGGAATCCAGTGGTATTCGGTGAAAGGCTGCACCGAGGACAAATCAGAGTGCTTCAAGAGAATTGTGAAGAATTATGAAATCCGCTCTAGTCACTGCTGCCACCGACCCCTGTGCAACTTCTGAGGAAGCGGCCTATATCCTTGTCACTAGGCTAGCCAGTCAGATCTGAAGCCTGGAGGCTGCAGGCGATGGCTGCTTCTGTCTTACAGGTGTTCAGGGCCATGGTCAGAAGTTGACTTTAACATTCATTATGTCCCTATTCCCCCCCTACCCCCTCCCCACGGTCTCCAATGTATCTCACAAGAGCTCTGTGTTACAAGAGCTTTGTTTCTGTTGCTATGATAAAATATTCTGATAAGGAGCATTTCCGGGAGGAAAGGGTTCATTCAGCTTGTACTTCCAAGTTATTGTCCATCACTGAGGAAATCAAGACAGGAACTCAAGGCCAGAACCTGGAGGCAGGAATTGAAGCAGAGGCCGAGGAGAAACAATGCTTACTAGTTTGTTCCTCCTTAGTTGGCTCCTTTTGCTTTCTCATATATCCCAGATGTCCCAGGGACAGTGGCACTAAGCTTCAATCAAGAAACTGCTCCCATAGACCTGCCCTCGGGCCAATCTGATGGAGACATTTCCTTAGCTGGGGCTGCATCTTCCCAAGTGATTCCAGCTTGGGTCAAGTTGACCCCAGCTCCCTAAAATAATCCTCTCACCAGCAAGGCTACACAGAAGCAAAATGCCAAATCAGACACATAATCTCTAATGGGTTTAAGTAACCCTAAACATTTCCACACCAAAAGGTATGCTGTCAAGTGAGTTACATCACCGGAGTGATACGCACCCTGACGTAGTTTTCAGGAGAAACTAGCAGATTCCATTAAAAAAAAAAAAAAAAGATAAGCCACAAACCAGCAAACTAAGCCTTTGGGAATAGGGAACCCCAACATCAAAGGCCTGAGGCAGGCGTAAAGACCACTGCTCGGTTCCATAGCTAACCCATGCCTACAGGCTTGTCTATCGTGGGTCAATCCCGGACAATTGGGGCTGGGTGGGTGGTCACCCTCAGGGAAAGCAAGGGGCTTGTTTGACATTGGGTCCCTGTTCTGCCCATTCCATGCTCTCCTTCTACAGTCTGAACTCTCTTTCTTTGCCACCAACCTTGGATTTATCTTCACTTTTAGGGGTTTGAAAAATACCAAAATCTTGTTGCCCTTTTCTAGGGCCTAGGATATCTAATGTCCTGCAATCTATGCTTTCCTAAAAACTCTGAAGAAAATTGTTTGTTTTAATGCAATGGTAGGCAGGTATGATGGTAAATGCTTGTTACTCCGACATTCCGGAGGCAGGGACTGAACAATCAGAAATCAGTTCATGTAGCACGACCTTGTCTCAAAACAATAAAACAAAAACTAAACTAAGGCCTAGAACAGGCTTTCCCCCACATGTCAGCTCTGTTCCTTCATGCTTCTGAAACTAAGAAAACAATGTCTTCATCTTTAATCACCCCATTCTGTCATTTTTTTAAAAAAATCAGTAAACAGCTGTTGCTGCAAACAGCAAACTAGAGAAACATTTTTCTTGTGCTTTTTGAAAATGTCCCATCAGCAACCCAATGTCAAGGGGGCGAATGCCAAGCTTACACAGCCAGGGGCCCCTGACAGAGGCTTCCCCAACACAGTCACAGTGCCTGGTGGAAGGCCAGAAGAAAAGAATTGGGAAGGAAGTGCTCGTCTGCTCTGCTGGCCATGTGAGCTCCTCCACACAGAGCTACCTAATGCAGGCCTTTCCTCCCCACAGGCCTCTCTGTCTTCTCTCCTCCATGTTGGCCCCTCAGAACCTCATTCTCTTCACAAACAAAATGAAGAGGAGTGACTCACACAATCTCTTAAGATACCCTCAGGTCCAAAGACAGAGTCCTGACACGGTATCTCTTTGTTTCCTTAGATACAAACAAGATAGTGTGCTGACCACAATCCTTAGGGTAGACCCAGGTCTGACAATGTTCATCCAGCTCTGCGTGAGCCAGGAAACTGGGCAGAGAAATGCAAGCCACGAGTAAAGCAAATGTCACTGATGTGGTTGACTGGTGCCACAATACCACCTCCAAAGTCACCATGGCAACAAAAATAATCCTTACAACACTGGTGTGTAAAGCAGAATGTGACCCCTCAAAGATGCCCTGTGAATGTGTTTCCTTGACAAAATGGCTTTATGTAGATGTGTTTAAATCAAGATCAGTTACTCAATGGAATCACGAGAGTCTAAGAGGAGGGTCAAAGTGAGGGGGGATGTGATGAGGAATGCTTAGGTCACAGGTTGGTAGGTGTTTCATTGCTGGTTTGAGGGGTGAAGGAAGGAGGTCACAAGCAAAGGAAGTTAGTTTGGCAGCCTGTACCAGCCAAGAAAGAACACGTCTTCTCCACTACAGACAGCTTCCATCAGAACACAGCCTGAAGGACACATGACACTGTCTTAAGTTTCCTCCCTCTGGGTCTGTGAGATACTAAATGTATTAGTGTGTGTGCGAGCCTCAGCACATGTCAGTTGTCAGCACTGGAGAAGTGGGTTCTAGCTAGCTGATTGTTTTTCTGCCACTCTCTACTCCCAGAATATCTGGGCGGCAAGTTTCCAGCTGATTTGCCTCCCATCTGAACTTGGGGAGACTAGAGTAGAATGCCATGCATCCAGCCTTGCACTTGGGTTCTGAGGACTGGCCTCAGGTTGCCAGGCTTGTATGGCAAGCCCTTTGTGAGCCATCTCCCCAGCCATGCCTTTTTTTTTTTTTAATATGGTCATTCATTACAGCCACAGGAAAAATAAGAACCCTTGAACATACAGAAAATGATATAGCATTTCCTCTCTCAAGGTAGACAGGCCGGATGCTTGGGTGACACAGGGTCTGATGCCTGGAGTTGCAGTGCTGTGCCTTAGCTTTCATCTTTCCATGTATCTTCTCAGTCACAATCTCCCTGGAAACACACAGATGGACTGCAGACACACAGTTACATCTTTTCAGCTGACACCTCCCACTCAAGTCTTCATCCATTCAGGAATTCTTCAGCTAATAAGCTGATTCTTTTCAAGTCCTTCACACTTAAAGGGAAAGTCATTCCAAATTCGCCCAAATGTCACCTGTAAAGCACCAGCTTGGGGGATGGAGGAGGCAGCTGATGGAGCAAGCATCTCCCTTGAGCCTCTGAACACCAGGTTAGTCTCCTCTAGTACTGTAACATGAAAAACAAATGATCCAGAGACTGATACTGGGGTTCAAACATCCAGCTGAAGATCAGAAAAGCAAAGCAGCTGGCCACTAGCTTCTTACCTCAGGTTCAAAGACTGGTCCTGTCTCCATAAGCTCTCACTAAGCTTCAGACTGTAATCTTTCCCCGTCGTGGCTAGAGAACGAAAGCTGCTATCTTCAGTGGCCGGAGAATGACTGCCTCTCTGAGAGGCATTAAAAGTGTGATCTATAATTCTTTTTTAGACTGATTCACTCTTGTGTAGATCTGGGTGGGCTTGGACTCACAGAGATCCACCTACCTCTTAATCCCAAATCCTAGATTAAAGGTGTGTACCATCACCACCCAGTTTCTGGCTGCTGGGATTAAAGGTGTGTGCCTGGCTTCTATGGCTTATGGCTGACTTTGCTTTCTGAATTCTCAGGTAAGTTTTAATAAATCATAAATAATATATCACTACATAATACACCCCCTCTCATACTGAAATAGAAATCTCAGTAGCTAAAGCTTATTTAAAAGGAAAGTCTTGGAGCTAGGAATTTGACCCAGGAAGGTGCCTGCCACCAAGCATGAGGAACTGAGTTCAGATCCCCAGCATCCATGTAAATAGTTGGAAGCAATGGCACATACCTGTGGCCTTAGACCGTGGGAGGTAGAGACAAACGGACCCATGGGCCTTGCTGGCTAGACAGTCCAGCTGAATCTGTAAGCTCCTAGTTTAGTGAGAGAACCTACCTCTCAAAATAAGGTAGAGAACCATTAAAGTTATCTGGAGCCAGGTGGTGGTGCGGCGTACACTTTTATTCCCAGCACTTGGGAGGCAGAGGCAGGTGGAGCTCTGTGAGTTCAAAGCTAGCCTAGTCTACAAAGCCAGTTCCAGGCAGCCAGGGTAACACAGAGAAATCCTGTCTGGAAAAAAAAAAAAAAAAATCTAATGGCCACCTAATGGCCTCCTTCATATTCACAAACTTGTGTGCACACACCATTTTTTTTTTTAAGGCAATTCTCAATGGCTGATCAATTGGAGGCATCCAGAGAATGAGGCAGGCCTGTACCTGAGACAGTCTGTCAGAAAACAGGGGATAAGCATTTTACCTCCCAGAATCTGGCTGTAAGGTTTTCTAAAATTCCAGAGATCATGCTTTTTTTTTTTTTTTTTTTTTTTTAATGTATTTATTTTGCAGAGAGCTGCAGCTGAGTTCCCCATGGTATAGAGCCCCTGCAGAGACGAGTGGAAGTGGAAACTTCTGGTGGCAGGCTTTATGATCCTCACAAATGCCCATTCCTAGAGACCCTGAGGGTAGCAGTTGAGCCACTGGGACGCACTCACACTCCTTAGTCTATGCTGGAAGCCTCTTAGAAACATCGCTCAGACTGCATGGAAGAAAGGACGGAAAGACATGTGCAAAGAAAAGGAGGCTGACGATTAGAAGCAAAGCGATAAAAGGAAGCAGGATGTTGTTGATTGACCCCTCTCTGCGGATGCAGATGCAGGCCTCAAGCATCTTTCATCCTCTTCACATCCCAACACCTAGAGGATAGCTCTGACACCATGCGGGCTATATACAGGGGCTGGAGAGCCGCTCAGCTGTTGAGAGTGCAACACAGTTTTGCAGAAGACGGAGTTCAGTTCCCAGTGCCCACACAGCAGAGCTCACAAACACTGCTAAGTCCAGATGCCCTCTTCTGGCCTCTGTAGTCATGTGCAAATACCCCCCACACACACACACACACATACACACAACACATAAACACTACACACACAAAAGTAAACATATATGTATATAAACATATATATGTATATAAACATATATATTATATATATATAATATGTATACACACACACACAAAATTCCTTCCCAAGAGAAACGTAAACAATTTCCACCCCTCCTAAGGCCCCAGTGACAAATTGGAAT